ACCCCAGAGAAGCTTGTGATATGAATCTAACAATGGATAGGTAACTCGTAGCGTAGCGCATGTTTCAAAGCAAAGAGTTCCTAGGATGCAGTGTTTTATCCAGAGGGGTGCCCGGGGAACCGCGCGCCCCCCCCCCGAAACTTGCGATCAGCGTACTATAAACACGTGGCTTGCCCCCCCCCCCCCACCGAAATTCCAAATCGCCCCTCCGAAGAAAAAATCCTGGATAAAACACTGCTAGGATGACTAGACTCAGTCTAGAATTCTGTCAGATTCAATGGGATTTGTTCAGCAAGATAGCTTCCGATAGTATGATAATATAAGTTGAAGATTTCTGCTTATCAGAAAATGAAGTAACGCCTCTTCCTCTTCTTCCGAGTTTCTTCGTATACAATCACATTTTGGAGGTTCGTATATCTCCAAACCGTACACGGAGAAATATAATCATATACGAAGAAATACAAAGTAAAACTAAAAGTGTAGACCAGCTTTGTTTGTCTATAAACGATCATATTCTTGCGCACACGATCACGGATTTATACGATCACATTACTGGGCGATATGAAACGCCGTATTTCTCCAATTACGAGCGTGTTTGCTTGACATGGGTTAATATTGACAACGGTTTGATAATACTTGGAAGAAATCGGATATGATGGAATGCAACAGCAACAAACAGGGGTATCCGATAACCAATAAGTAAGAGATTATCCAATCTACTCAATACAAGTAAGTCGTTTTATACAGAACCCAAGAAGATGATCATATGTCACTGCGAAAAATTAGGCGTTTTCGATAGCACGCGGTCAAATGATTCCCACAAACCTGCTGTCTGGACACAGTTGCAACCAATGTATTAATTTATGTTGAGAAATGGAAAAGTGAAACTGACTTGCGAAAAATGGTTAAAATCACGGAAGAATTGCCGAAAATTGAAAGAGCGCAAGAAAAATTTTCTCACTTGCGAAGCCATCCGAAAAAAAGGAACAAAACGCAAAAAGGACATTTAATGAATTTTTTTTGTTTCTATTTCTATATATCTACTTAGTTAGACAGTAATACTATACTCAGATACTATGCAGATAGAATATTTAGAATATTTTTCTAATGTTTTCCGGTTTTCGAATGGATAAATAAGCAGCTGCACAAAAATCTCTGAACAATTTGGAAGTTTCGTTTTTGTTTTTCTCTTTCAAGTCATATTCAATCTATACTGATAACGTACGAGTTTTGTCGGATCTATAGTACTATAGTGCCGGTGAGTTTTAGTTTTCTTCGAAAGGAAACTGTACGCTTCTTTTTCTCCTCTTTTTTTTCAAGAATGCTGGGCATCTTTTTTTCTCTTTTTTTTTTACGAAGTGTTGGTGAGATGCCAGATCTATTTCCAAATATTTTTTCACATGATAACTCTTATCTTTCTCTAAAAGATGACGTAATTTGATCAATAACTTCATATTAGTTTATTGTAAATACTATCGATTTATAGAGAGTGGTCGAAACTTTTGAACCACCCTTTAGAGAATTTTAACATTGAACAGAGCCTATCTGAGCCTCTTTTATCTCCTCAATCTAAGACGGTTCGAGCCTACTCAAGCTTTTTCATATGTTTAGTTTAGGATAATTCGAACCTGTCCAAGCCTTCCCAGGCCTCGTGGCTCCGCCGCCTATGGGAGTAATGTTTTCTGATTGAATATTTTTTATTAAGAACTGACATTCGAATATACCAGATATAGCATGTGTTAGAATATCATTTGTAATAGAATTTACTAAAGAAAGGTTAATTATATTTCTAGTTTAAATAAATCTATCTTTTTATTTTATTAGGAGAAGTTTTAAACATTAAAATATTTAGTTGAATTGAACAAATATTTTATATTTATCTTCTAAGAATATAATTAAACAACATAGATCAGAGCGTTCTAACTAAATTAATGAGAAATGTCATTTTTCTTTTGAACAAAATTTTCGTTAGAATTTTGAGAGATACTATGACCTACAATACAATTGACACTTAAAATAAATAAAAATGTTGTCCTAGTTTGTATTCAATGCAATTAATAATGTGCGATACACACGACAAGTATTCTATGGTAAAAATGAGAAAATGTTTTACATATTATCTAACAAAAAATTCGATTAAACTTGTTACAAAAAAGGAAATATGTTTGATAATTATTTTTCATGTAATAAAAATTAATTATGAAAAGGACAAATTTCATCTTCGGTAGAATAATGAGCAACATTTTTTTCATTTTTTCGTTACTCACGATATACTATTTTATTATATAAAAATACAAAAAAAAACTAAGATTCTCAATAATATTTTACCTTCAAGATGATCTTTAAGATCAACTGATAAAAGCTTCCATAAAGTATCTGCACTAATGTGACCTACATTGAGTTCCGATGGAAATCTAAAAAAAACAAAAAACGAATAGTAAATTAATTTTGAAAATATTTATTAACAAAAAATGAAACTAACTGATTAAGTACCAAACTATATCGTTCTCTATCTTTAGATATAATACATGTTAATAAATACATTAGTTGATGCCAAAATTGTAAACTTTTAAGACTAGGACCGATAACATTTGTTGTTGTAGATAATGTTTGTATTCCATCTTCATTTAGTTCATTATTATTATCTATCATTGATGTTGTTGTTGTATTTATTTGTTGTTTTGATTCTCTTTTATAAACTTCATCACAATTCGCAAATAAACAATTGTATGTATGATGAATACAATTTATAACACAATCTTTAACAACACCAGATGCATGTGGCGGTGAACTTAATTCTTGCACCTGAATATTATCATTAGAAAAACAAAAACAATAGGGATTTGGTAAATGTTCATAATAATTTTCTATATCATTCATTCGTTTTTTTTTCAATTTGAATAACAAGTACTTACATATAAATACTGTTAACAACAAGAGAAATAACACTATTTATATTTTTATTATATTCGTAAAAAAAAGTAAGCCAATGAGAAAGAAAGAATGAGAACAAATATTTAGTTCCTTTCATATTTGTTTTTCTTCTTCTTACCACGAATGCTGAAAAGAAGAAAAAAAAAGAAATTATTATTATAGACTATTCAATGAATAATACCTAAATCTTATTCTAAATAAAAGCATAAAAATTCATTGATTTCATGCAGTGAAACCATGCTGAAAAATTTACCTGATTATTTACTGATATTCGTAAAGGAATGACTGCCCCAAACTATGGTTTTTTATGTCGCTCGATCAATTAAAAATAACAAATTACCTTCATACAAAAGAATATTATAGATGTTAGAAGGTCAACTGTTAATTTTAAATCTTGCATTCGTTCCATACTTGATGAAGAAATATTATTCGAATTATTAACAATAATATTAATTTATTTTTTTCAATTAAATTCAAAATATTACAATGTATACTCGATACATAGATAAATCAATACGAATTGAATGGTGTAATTGATCGAGCAATTTAATAAATTTTTCTTTTTAAATATATCAATAAATATTATTTACATAATCAAAACTTTAAGAATAATATTCGATTCTGATAAGTCAATTTATTGAATCAGATTTATACTTGAATAAATTGAACAATACATGAGATTATTGAAGAACTTCAAAGAAATCATTTTGTCGCATTAAATTCAGATTCTAAAAATTAGGAAATGTACTGTTTATCAGAACAGGATGTGGGTGTGGATGAGTGGCTGTGGCTGTGAAGGAACTGCAAACTGTCACCCACACACGCACACCCATGAGAACTTTAGTGACGCTAGCTATTACAGGAACAAAATGTATAAAGAACAGACAAACAATCAAACGTTCTTCTTTATATATAGATAGATATACGTTCGGTTATTTTCTCTTGTTCACAACACGTTCTCTGCTCTAATCCATTATGAGTCATGAGTAATGAAATTTCATCTCACTTGTTGCCTTCTTCATTCGATAGATATTTCCATTCATATGGTTGCTCTTCATCTTATACATTCTATTCGTTTGTTTTTCGAATATCCTAAAATGTCTTGTGGCCAATGACAAAAAGCGCAGGTTTTAATATACTTTCGTTCTCAAATTATTGAGAAACAACCACGC